CGCCCCCGACGACGCCTGCTCCCGCCAAGAGTGGGTTCAGCAGCCGCAACCCATTCAACGGTTGGGCCCGAAACGCGGCGATCAGCGCCACCGGACCGACCGTGGCTGCACCCCGAGGAAACGGGGCAACCACGGTCGCCGGACCCGTGGCAGGGCCCGCACCTATGGAGATCGACCGGGCCCAGGCCCCCGCTACGGCCTGCAGCACTCGCTGTTACAACTGCGGCCAAGAAGGACACATCAGCCGGATGTGCCCGAACCGGGCCGCATCGGCCAACCAGATCCGCGCTATCTTCTCGGAGTTTATCAAAAATAACGCGGATAAAGCGGATTTTGGCGATCGTCGCGAGTGAAGCCTACGCCCTCGCCGACGTATACTACAAGTGTCTCTAGTTACAACCCGCATAATCGATATTCTGTGTTGCCAATCCAGAGATACGTGGGACCAGACGTAGAAACCAACCCCGAACAAAAAACCCCGCAATCCGCCGTTTCCACCCGCAAGAAAAGCCCGCACAAAGCCGTATGAGATACCCCCGAGGCCCGCTTGGAAGAATTGGCCAGCGGCCAGCGGCCAGCGCCGAGAGGCTTGTTGCGCAGATTCGAGACCAGCCCGAAAAGGCCCGCTCGAAACTACAACAGTGGATACACCCGGCCCGACGAGCCGAGAACGGGCCCGAACTAGAAGAGTTCATACGAACGGGGTACGCCCCCGACGTAGCCGAAGCTTTGCGACAACTACAAGATGCCCCCCCCTTTCGGAAAAGCGAAGGCACCACAGCCACCCGGGTGGCCGTCACCCTCCAAGGGGTCAACGATCTCCGCGGGTACTCGGTCGACGCCCTCCTCGATAGTGGAGCCACCTCCGAGTTCATACACAAGCGGTTTACGGAGGACTCTCAACTGGAACTCGAGGCCCTGCCGCACCCAGTCCCAGTGTACAACGCCCGACGGGACGATCAACGCCGACGGGGCCACCCGCTTACGGGTCACCATTCAGGACCACTCTGAACTTCTCACGTTTGCCATCACGGACACCGGGGACAGTGACATGATCATCGGGCATCACTGGCTCAAGAAGCACAATCCCGTAATCGACTGGCGTGAAGGGGCGATCGCCTTCACCCGATGCCCGCCCCGAGTGCAAGCGGGCCCGATTGCTGGAACAATGGGACGAAGAGGACAACGAACCCCTGGGCAAAGGGGATCGCCTCTTTGTCACCCGGATATAGGATGAAGGATCAAACGCGCCCGCCCACATCCGGGCCATGCAGAGCATGGCCACCAAGCTGGCCGCCGCCACCTACGCCGCCGAGAAGCCCCGAACCATCGAGGAGAGCGTACTCGCGCACTACCTTGAGGAGTTCAAGGAAGTCTTCGAAAAACAGGACTTCGACAAACTCCCGGAACGGAGGAAATGAGACCATGCCGTCGAACTACACCCGGATGCCGAACCCGTCAAAGGACACTGCATTCCCCTATCAGGAGAAGAACAGAAAGAGCTTGACGCATTCATTAAGGAACACTTGGCAACCGGGCGGATTCGGCCCTCGAAATCCCCATACGCATCCCCGTTCTTCTTCGTCAAGAAGAAGGACGGGAAATTACGGCCCGTACAGGACTACCGGAAGCTGAACGAGATCACTATAAAAAACCGATACCCGATACCACTCATATCGGACATCATGCATAAGTTACGTAACACCCGGTGGTTCACCAAGCTCGATGTGCGTTGGGGGTATAACAACATACGCATAAAAGAAGGCGACAAAGAGAAGGCCGCGTTCGTTACCAACCGGGGCCTATTCGAACCACTCGTGATGTTTTTCGGCCTCACCAACTCTCCGGCTACGTTCCAATCTATGATGAATGAATTGTTTTCCAACCTGATCTCCCAGGGTCGCGTGATCATGTACCTGGACGACATCCTCATATACTCCAGCGACCTCTCCGAACATCGTGCGACGGTGAAAGAGGTCCTACGGATCCTGAAGGACAACCAACTGTATCTGAAACCGGACAAGTGCGACTTCGAGCGGAACGAAGTCGAATACCTCGGTGTGATCGTCGGGAACGGGCAACTCCGCATGGACCCGATCAAGGTCGCTGGCGTGCGCAAATGGCCCCGACCTCGTAATTTGCGGGAGGTGCAAAGCTTCCTGGGGTTCCTCAACTTCTACCGACGATTCATCAAGGACTTCGGCGCATACGCCAAGCCACTCACTCGACTGACCCGAAAAGACAGCCCATGGAAATGGGGACCGGAAGAGGAGGAGGCCTTCCAGACGTTGATAGACCGGGTCACTGACGAACCAGTTCTACACTTCCCTACAGATCACGGAGCATGGCGGGTCGAAGCGGACTCCTCTGACTTCGCCACTGGGGCCGTCCTTTTGCAAGAGCAAGAGGGGAAATGGGTACCGATCGCGTTTCTCTCTCGGGCCATGAACGACACCGAGCGCAACTACGACATCCACGATAAAGAAATGCTCGCCATTATGCGGGCCCTTACCGAATGGCGACATTATCTCCAAAACGGGGGAGAAAAGCCGTTTGAGATCTGGACCGACCACAAGAACCTGGAGTACTTCATGACTGCTAAGAAGCTGAACCGGCGACAGGCACGATGGTCACTCGAACTAAGCGAGTATCACTTTTCCTTGTTACATAAGCCGGGGAAAACAAACGGGTGGGCCGACGTGTTATCCCGAAGAAACGGGTACGACAACGGGAAGGAGGATAACCAGGACATTGTACTTCTACCGGCGGGGCTATTCAAGGAACACGCGATCCGCGCAATGCTCACATTGGAGCATACAGAAGGTGACGGGTTGATGGATTCGATCCGACGGGCTGAACCGGCCACGGAGGAGAAGGTCCTCAAACTCTGGGAAAAGGGAGAACCGGAAGGCTGGGAACAGCACAACGGCTTCAAGACTTGGAACGGACTCGTGTATGTGCCCCCAGCTATGGGACTAAGACATCGGGTGCTATGACAACACCACGATATCCCTATTGTGGGACACCCGGGATGGCATCGAACCCTCGAGCTTACGACCCAGCTGCTATAGCTCCTTCTATGCAAAAGATGTGGACTATTATCCATGGGTGTAATGCAAAAGATGTGGACAACTGCTTCTAAGTCACATTTGTCACATTAGTTAAAAGAGTAATTAATTATTTAAGAGGCTTATAGAGCTTTATTAGTAATGAGATTAGTGCCATTTATATATTGTTTACAATGTGGAACCATTTTTTATAAAGATCAATTGTTTTGATGATTGGATGGTGTTACATCAATGTGACATGTGATTACATCAATTTCCTTGCCCTGTATTACAGACTGTTCCAAACTATAATACGAATCATCGGCCTGAAGAAAAGGTGATTTCTATTGCCATATATGGTATTAGCTTAGTCATATCTATCAATTTGGCTCTTTAATTTAACATTTAATTTTCAGGCTTGTGACTTCTGGACAACTGTCCACATCTTTTGCATTACAGCTGTGGACAATTATCCACATCTTTCCTGAAAGACAGGGTATATGGGGTGTACGACCCGCAACTATTGGTGGCTGTCGATTCAGACTGATTGCCAGGCCTACGTACAGGCCTGCCCGTTGTGCCAACGAACAAAGATATTCCCGAGACGCCCCGTAGGGACCCTGGTCCCGAACAGCGTGCCGACTTCGGGTATGGCAGCGCATATCAATCGATCTGATCGTTCAATTACCCGAGTCCTCCGGATATAATGCAATTCTCGTGATCGTCGACAGACTGGGTAAAGGGATCCGCGTACTCCTGTACACGGGAAACATCTCCGGGGAAGGAGTCGCCCGGCTATATCGTGATCACTTCTGGAAGGATTATGGATTCCCAGAGGAAGTGACTAGCGACCGGGGCCAGCAATTCATTGGGCATTTCATGAGCGACTTGAGCAAATTGCTGGGTATCAAGGTCCGATCTTCATCGGCTTACCACCCGCAGACAGACGGGCAAACAGAGCGCGCGAATATGGAGGTTGAGCAGTACCTTCGAACATTCTGCAACTTCCAGCAGAGTGACTGGTCTGACTGGCTTTCCCTAGCGGAATTCGCTTTCAACGACAAAGTAAACTCCTCGACAGGGTTCTCGCCCTTCTTCCTCACGCTGGGATTTCACCCGAGAAAGGGGTCCGAAGTCCCGCAGGAGGTCCCAACTGAAGCCGCCACAGTGTTTGCCGAGCGAATGAAGGAAGCTCGGGCCGACGCGGCCGAAGCCATGAAGGAGGCCCAAGAAACTATGAAGAAGTATTACGACCGGAAGCACTCCCCGGACCCAAACTACGCCGAAGGGGACAAAGTTTACCTCCAGGGTACGAACCTCACCAGCGATCGGCCCTCGAAAAAACTAGACGACAAAAGATTCAGGCCATTCAAAGTCAAGCGCAAAGTCGGTAAAACATCCTACGAACTGATATTGCCCCCAACTTGGCGCGTGAGCCCTGTCTTCCACACGGCGCTATTACGACCCTGGAACGCCCCAGTAGCGGATCATCAGCGGGCCGCGCCGCCGCCCCCAGCCGAGATGCGGGACGGCGAGCCCCACTACGAAGTAGAGGCCATCTCCCTCGTACGCAAACAAGGTCGACACCGCCTGAGGTACTTAATTCAATGGAAAGGCTATCCTCGGAGGCTAATATCGTCTATTCTCCGGGCGAATACCCACCTTTTGTGCTCCCCAGACCCTCTCGAAGTCAGACCCCCCGACGCCCCGATACGGCCCGAGCCCGACGCTGACACTCTACCGGTCAACATAATAGAAGTTCTACAGTAAAGACGCTTCTCATTACTGATTGAAGGTCTTAGTCTTAGGTCTAAGATGGAATCTCAAAAGGAACCGATGATATAAGTACACAACATTTTTCGACTAATCAGTCTAATCTTCCTCGCGGAGAAGCGGAATGGGCAGAAATCTATTAGAAGAAGTACTCGTCTAGTAAGACTGCTGCTTGATCCATCAAAGCCCAACCACCTGAGCACTCGCAGGCGACACCGTCACCTCCCAGTCAAGCGCGACAGTGACTTTGGCCTGCGACGCGACGGAGCAAATCCAGTTGATCTTGCGGTCCAGGCCCAACGACTCGACAACACAATCCGGCTCATCGACCCCGTCCCACTGGGCAACAACGTCCTTGGCCACAGCTATCTTCTGCGGAACCGGCGCTGCGTCTTTTCCTTTCTGCACTTTCATGCTCCCCGTATTCCCGCTCTCTGACGCCACGACCAACGCGGGACTGAGCAGCTTCACCTCGATCTGCGACGTTTGCGACGTGGGGATGTGATCGACGACCTTGACACGCGAGACCGGAAGCGATTTGGTGTTGAATATCGTGATGCGCTGGCTGAAGACATGCGTTGCGGTCTTGTTGTAGAACCCGGAATGGGTGACTTTCTTGATGACAGGGTGGTAGGTGATGCGGATCGAGGGGTCCACACTAGAGAGAGTCGTTAAGTGGAGAGATTCTGTTGAGAAAGGAACAAAACGGTACCCAAGAGGACAATCGAAGCTCTCCTTCGGGCTGACTGCAGGCACCTCGGATCGAGAGATGAAACTGCCGTCCACGTAGACGCTGGAAGAGCCAGCAAGAAGTGTGTAGTCTGACGCATTGACGATTTTTGCCTGCAATAAGGTCAGAAGAATAATATATTTCGCGGAATTGACCCACCGTGATATGCGCTTTGGTATCAACTTTCGGCACAGTGACCCAGCTCATCGTCGCTTGCAAGTTGAGTTCAACGATGGTGAAGTTATGTGCTTCACCATCACTGGGAATCGTAACTTGTCCAGGGACACGGAAAGTCGCGCTGACGTTGCCCCTTGAGGTGACCGAAGCCCCTAAATGCGCCATCGGTTCCGCCATACCGCCTGCTACGTCAGACCCAAAAAGTTCATCCATGTCGTCGACCGCTGATCTGGACTTCTCTTGCATGCGGGACATGGTCATGCTACTGCTGCCCGGAATTGCAGACTTCTTGCGTGACTTGAACGGGGTGAAGCGGAAGATGTCGAGATTCCACGGCTGCAACTCGGGTATGTCGAGGCCAAAGGTGGGAGTTGATGTTTCGAGGGTGAGCGGAACATCATCCCAGGACTATGCACGTTGAGAAGACGAGTAAAAGCAACCGAACAAAAGTGACCTCGCCCGTGTTCTGCATGATAGCGGCTTTGTAGATGAGCTTTATAGGGTCGTCTTTGGTGTTCATATCCACACGAATATCGTAGAAGGCTCTCCATGTCGCGCGAGGAACAGCTTTGTTTGTACACATAAGAAACCGGTTTGGAAACCATTGAAAAAGACTCACCATAGATAAGAGCAATCTCGATATCCCCCTCGTGCTCCGCAAACACACCAATAGCGGCTTTGACTCGTAGCTTGTCATTTTCGTGCGGGACAGCAATACGCTCGCGCTCTTTCTCGATGTCAACCCTAAGAGTTTGCAGGCGCTCCGTCAACTCCGACTTCTGGTCGTCGAGCTTCTCCCCCGCCTTATTGTAGCTCTCCATCACACTCTCTATCTTCGAGTAGTCCAGGTGCTCGACCGTCAGTGAAGCCAGATATTGCTCCAGCGCCTCGATTGACTTCTCGCATCGTCCGAGGGCATATTGTGTTCGCTCTTGCTGCTTCAATAGGGCCTTGAGCTCCGGAGACGTGGTTTCTACGTGTTCGCCTTTCGCAGTTGAAACAGTGACATCGTGGATTGTCGCAGCGCCTCTGCCTTCTACTCTGTCGATAGTTCAGTATAATGAGGACGGAGGGACGTCACAACGCACCGGAGGGACTCTGACTCCAAAACATTCGGCAGCCCAGAGATATTGACCTGGTTAAGGCCCGTCTTGACCCCAAATTTGTAGAGCCGCGTTATTTCGGCGCGTGAAGAGTACAGGCTGACCGCGATGATTTTGCTGGCTGACACGGACTGCAGCTCGATGGTGCCCGTGGGCTCGAAAACTGGAGGATGGTCTGCCGTCATTAGGGATGGGAGGAGAGGAGTCAGAAAACCTCATCCCTGTCGGTATTTAACTGCGATCAACGGCTGGGCCGACAGGGTGATTAATATTGTCAACGTCTGAAAGGTCGACGTACTTACAAGTGACGGCTATACAACAGCAAGTGGGACGGAGCCGTTATGTATTGTGGAGGACATTCGCGTTCGCTCGTGAAAAGTAAGTATCATGTGACCTGATGCACCTCTTGATTTCCGATCACTTCGCGCTTTGCTGGCTTCCACAATCCAGAATTGCTGAACAATCCTCGTCTTCGAGCCATGAGTAAGCGTTGCAACTACCGAAAAAGGCGCCAGACGCCGAACAAGTCCAAGACAGCTGGACGACTATAAAGTCGCTATCCAGGGCTTGAGAACAGACTACTAGTACCCGGGCCTTTCTTCAAATTTCGACTCCCAATCGTCGTCAATTGCAACCATGCCTATTAAACAAGACGCGTCGGCACCTCTCATAGCCGTCGTAGGCGCTACGGGAATTCAAGGCGGCAGTGTCGTGCGCGCTCTTTCTGAATCCGACAAACCATATCGAATCCGAGCCTTCACTCGAGATGCTTCAAAGGCTACTGCCAAGGCACTGCAGGAGGAGGGTGTCGAAGTCGTGGTCGTATCTTTGACGGTGGACAACAAGGATGCCGTCTTAAAGGCATTCGAAGGGGCAGATTATGCTTTTGTTTGTGTCCTCTTGTGGTGATCTTTGGACGCGCACTGATCTTATCCACAGCTTGTCACGAACTTCATCGAGCACAAAGACGCAGCTAGGGTAATGTTCTATACACCCCGCAAGTCCGAGTTGACGTCTTTCCAGGAAACCGCTGAAGGCAAACTGATGATTGACGCGGCAAAAGCAGCTGGCGTCAAAGGCATCGTCTGGTCTGGACTGCGAAGCGTCGATGCCCTCTCTGGCGGCAAATACAAGAATGTCGCTCATTTCGAGAGCAAGGTGCGCGTTACGGAACACGGCCGCAACTCTGGTGTCCCCTTCATCGATCTCCAAGCGGGGGGCTATACCAGCAACATGCTCACCTTTACGCGGCCAGTCAAGGTTTCGGCAGACACGTGGGCAGTCAACGTTCCCTATGGGCCCTCCACAAAAACATGGGTCATCGACGCCGAGCAAGACTACGGGCTGTTCGTCCGAAAGGCCCTCGAGCTGCCGGTCTTTCCCGACAAACAGACATGGATGGCAGCAGCGGAGAATATCAGCATTCAAGACCAGTTGATCCAGCTCACAGAAAGTAGGCCTATCGTCTCGTCACGGTATTGACCAATTCCTCCAGTTACTGGCAAAAAGGTCGTTTTGAATCAAATCACACCAGAGGCATTCGAAGAAGGCTTCAAGAGTTTCGGACTGCCGTTAAACATGGTGGTGGCTATTCGGGAAGTCTCCTCTTTCATGAATGAATTCAAAAAGAGTAGTTCTATTCTGTCGCCAAACTATACAAGTATTAACCTTCTGCAGCCATATCGGACGACACGGTTGTGTCTCAAGAGGGCCTCGCCCGCCCGCCACGTACCTGGAGGGAATACGCGCAAGCTCTGGACTGGAGCACTGTTCTCGTTTGAGTTTTTTTTTATATAGGACATTGTTCATCAATAGCATTTTAAAGATCGGCTTGCAGCGAAAAATAGCATCGTGATTCGTGGTTCCGAGTCGTTCAAGTTGGCGCCTGAAGCACGGCTGCCCAAGGCCAATGGAAACGTCGAAATCATCGTCGGTCGCATAATTTCGGGCAGTGGGCCAGGGAATGTGAATTGAAAAAGTTGAGAGCCGGGAACTTAGCAACAAGAGTGATTGCTCAGTCACAGTGGACATGGCCTTGAAATGATATATATATACAACGAGTAGAATATCACCATGACAGGAAAGAAGGAGGAATGTCATAAGCCTCAAGGAGTTCATCGGCAGACAGAATGAGCGATAATCCGCGACAATGCTCACAATTCGAATGAGGATTAGTAAGAGTCCAGCTGCTTTGGCCAAATATATATACTTGACAGAGCTGAAAGTCGAACTACATACTGTACAACTTATAATTTTATAATTTATTTTACCATCAGGAGCGTTCCCTAACAGGCAAAGCGAAACGCCTTGTCTCTGGATTCATCACTGCTCCTCGCTTTCAGGTTCTTCATCAGCTTCTTGTATGTCGTCGGCCAATACTGGTGCCAGGTTGATGCTATATGCAGCCAACGAATAGGTGACATGCTCTAAAAACACAATCAGCAAAACGCCCGGAAAATAGACTAGAGATTTGGCTCACGAAACCCAGACACCTCCACGGTCTCGTCGCCATTTTCTGCGCCTATAATTCATATGGCGTAAGCGGAGAAAGAAGAGCAGCAGAAACAACATACGGGTGGTTATCCGTTCATCGGACAGCGACTTCACATACGCCGCCTCCCTGTCGTCGTCAGGTAACAGCTTCTGCGCTGAAACCGACTGGAACCCAGGGTTGGACCACGTAAACCAGTTGAAATATATGCCCGTAGGTCCCAGTTGCAAAGAGGTTAGACTATTCAGTCCAACAGATGCACTGAAGCAGGCTGCGCGTGTGGTAACTATCGTTGGTGGGTAAATCATGTTGTCGCGACACGATTCGAAGTCGAGTGAGAGAACGTATATGCCTCGTACCTGTAGTCTCAACTTAGAGAGAGAATTGAACAAGGAGTTGGAACTCACTGTAGCGACTCCAATCCTATTGCTCTCAAGAGCAAGGTACTTGGAGATTCCCTGCGGGGAGCCAACTTGAATATCTAGAGCAATTTCTCGGAAGGATTTGACTCCATCAATTACTCGACGATAGAATGGGACTATGATGACCCGAGAGCTGGACAAGAGAGCGACCAAGTGGGAGCCACATTCAGACAGACGCACTGTAATTGCGATGAACAAGGCGCTGGTAATAAAACAGAGACATACCACTCCAAAATTGGTCCACCAGTCGTCCAGGAGTTGCTGACGTTAATCGATGTAAAACAGGTTGTGGCTTCAGGATCGCGTCTGGAAGCCACCCTGTTTGATTTTCGTCCGCTTCAAATGTGTAGGAATTGTCGCCGTATGAATATTGTGTGGAAGGGATGTCGAAAACGCAAAGCCCTGTTGCAAGAGAGAATCCACGCAGGGAAAGTGTGTCGGAAACAAATGCGATGCCATCCGCACTAAGCGCAAGACACCTGAGCTCGCCGGAGCCCGCCCCCAAGTTGATGGTCTGGAGGAAAGACCCAGACGGAACATCCCAGAAGTGCATGTCGGTGCTCGATCCAGCAACAATGGTGGGGTAGGCTAAATCGAAAGCGGAGACCGTGGCGTCGGGTGGTGGATGCAGAAGTGCCCAGGGCGTGAATTTACGTTTGGGAAAGGTACTATTTGCTGTTGCTGCCGCCCGAAATTGTGCCTCGTCAGGAGGTGAAGATGCAGCATGAACATGTTCGTCGCCGTCTTGCTCAACAAGTTTCCAGACCTCCAAATCGCTTCCGCGATTGAAAACAACGAACCCTTCGTGATACTCGCAGTGGGCGGCCTCGGATACGTAGCCCTAAATTCGGCTCAGCATGGAGTCTGGCCAAATTTAAGGACGCACCTCTGGCAAAGCCCAGACCAACTCGCCGGTGTTCATATCCGTGATTCGAAGTTCTCGCTGCCTCATACTCGTTGTAACGACGATGAATCCCTTCCGCTCGTCTACTTTGATCTTGTAGACGTTTTCCCCCGCTGCCCCGTGGTAGGTGAGGTCTGAAGCGGATTTACCGAGCCATGCTTGTTGTATAGGGAGCTGAACCTTGCAAAACGACTTCCAATCAGTTGAGCCGGCCAAGGCTCGCTGAGAGAAAGTAGTTTTGACATTGTCGAATGGAGTGGATGACGGGACGGCGAAGTGTCGAATGGCAGCATTGCGGTAGACCTCGAGTTCGTTGGTTTCGATGAATGCGTGCCAAAGGCGTGAGGTGCGCGCAAGTGCGGAAAGAGATGGAAAAGGTAAGTGAGAGAGGATGAGGAGTGTGACTTCAGGTGACAATGGAAACGACATCTTCACCAAAGACTAACGAGAGTCCCAGCATTTATACAGAAGCTTGATTCACATCGTCGTCGATAGCAATGATCGGAACAGTTCTCAGACCACATCACCTTTGACGAGCGTCGGCAGCGCAAACTCTCTGCAGTGGGTTAAACATTGGGAACTTGAAGAACACTGCCAGGGCCAGAAATACAAGCTTTGCGGTAACCCACATCTGACGTGGGAGTGGTTTTGCCCCCGCCGCCATCGGGTTTGCCTCCAAAAGACCCGACCACACTTGATGTTCGGCGGCAGCTGAACCATCTGGCGACGGCGCATGCGCTATTCAAAGCTTCTTTCGAACGCCGACGACAATCAAATGCGCATAGTACCGCCACTGACACTTCGCCCAAGACCGACAACACGTCTCCACAAAATTCCAAGCGCCCTACCGTGACTGAGGATGGCCCCGCAGCGACCTGAGGCCACACACACCAAGCCCGCCCAATGCTTGGGCTGATCAAACCAGTGAGGGGGACGAGAGGGAACGGCGCTTTGCTGAGATGGAGCGATCTCGCATGAAAGCAAGAGATGAGCAACAAGAGCAAAGAACAAATACTAGTACTCCTCACCATTCAATGCGGAATTCCGGCCCGGCCTCGTGGCGAGACAGTCATTGATCGTCCAAGGTCAAACAGCCGCCACGAGCGTCTCTTTCCTCCTCCATGAGCGTCCCTTCCGAGCCAGACATCGCCGACCTGCACACAAAGATGATGCAGTTGACTGTAAGTGGTATGCAAATTGGATCCCTTTTGTATTGGAGGAGGCTTGATCTGGATGGCAGGGGGCACAGGTGGACATGGAGGGCCCGCCGAGGGCAGGGGGGGAAACGGGGGCACAGGGCAGGGCAACACACTGTCTATCAGAGCAGACTCGGTGCACATCGCAAGCCTGAGGTAGGTTGTACCACAGGCACAGTGCTTTGCTCATTCCTGCTTCCCCAGCAGCCCCGCCAACGGCCCCACCAGTGGCACCATCGGTGAGCCTGCAGATGAATAGTGTCCATGTCCTGAATTGATCCTGCTTGCAGTGCTCAATCCCCCGCTGTACAGGGGATGTCCCCCTCCATGTGATTTCTTTACTGGCAGGGCGTGCATTCTGGACCAACTTTCAGAGCTGTTCGGCAAAAGCAGCAGCAGGGGCAGCAGGAAGGTTGTGCTCCTGCACGGCCTCGGTGGGGCAGGCAAGACCGAAACAGCTCTCAAATTTATCACCACTGCAGGAGAAAGGTGAGTGCTTGAAGCACTATGGTCTTGATCAACCAACGATGAGGGCAGGTTTACAGACCAATTCAAGATTGATGCCACCAACAGGAATACAATTGAGGCCAGCTACATGGACATTGCACGGATCAAGCAGCTGGACGTCTCTGTGACTGCAGCACAGACCTGGCTGGTGGGCAACACCGATGAGTGGCTACTCCTCTTTGACAATGCAGATGATGTAGATATCAACATCAGAGAATATTTCCCTCAGTGCAGTCATGGAAACATTCTAATTACCTCACGCAATCCAGATGTGGGCAGCCACACAGGCCACAAGTCAATCAAGATTCTTGATTTAAGCTTATCTGAAGCTGTTACTTTGTTCTCAAAAGTCAGTGAGATCAGTGATCCTGGTGCAGCTAAGGAGATAGTCAAGGCAAGTTGTTGCCATGTCAAAAGGACTCTGAGTCTAGCTAATATTGATCAGGAGTTGCACTTCTTCCCCTTGGCCATTGTTCAGGCTGCAGCATATATTAAACAGTCTCACTTGTTGACTGCCAAACCTTTAGGCTATCTAGATATGTACAGGAAAAAGAAGACAAAACTCTGGAATACAAAACCTGCACAGGCTAATTGGGACTATCAGAAGACAGTCTACACCACATGGAAGATGAGCTTTGATGCCCTGCCAGCCCCTGCAAAGGCAGTGCTGCGGGTGTTCTGCCTTATGCATTATAATGGGATCACCCAAGATATCTTTGAAATGGCTGCAGAATATAAACTAGATGAACTTGCTGAACTTGCCAAAGCCCAACTGCAGCCTGCATATAGTTTCCTTGCTCACTTTAGAGATGAAGAGGGAATTTGGGATGCCTACCAATTTGAAGAGGTGGCCCAAAAGATAGAAAGCTATTCTTTGATGTTTGCACAGGGTAATAGATATTCAATGCATCCTCTAGTGCATGAGTGGACAAGGGAAACATTGAGCAATCCACAAAGAGAACAAAAATTAGCCCTGAACATCATAGGAATGGCAGCTAGTTGCTGCACAGATCTGGAACATGAGCTATTGCTGGCAAATCACTCACGGGAGTTATGTATGGCAGCTGGTGCAGTAATGCTAGTAGACTTCCAGATCAGGCTAGGAAAGATTTACACAGTTGCTGGACTGTTCCAGCATGCAGAGAAAAATGAGGAGGGGAGTTGTGGAAACATATAATAGGGTTAGACCAGTGGAAGATACAAAACTAATCAATGCAGAAGCGGAATTAGCTGCAACATATCGTGATCTTGGCAGGTACTATAAGGCTGAAGTTCTGGAACTAGCAGTACTACAGCGGAGAATCCACCTCTTAGGGCCTGTGCATGCTGAGACCATCACTGCACAAGCAAACTTAGCTGAGACATACAGTGCACTTGGAAAATATAGTGAAGCTCAGGATCTGGAGGAAGCAGTGTTAAAGCAGAGAACCTCCCTGTTGGGACTTGAGCATCCTGATACTATTACATCACAGGCAAACTTGGCTGCAACATATTTTGCATTTGGAAAGTATAATGAAGCACAGGTTCTAGAAGAAGCAGTGCTAATGCAAAGAACCTCTCTGTTGGGGCTTGAGCATCCTGATACTATTAGTGTACAAGCAGACTTGGCTGTGATATACTATGCACTTGGTCAATACAATGAAGCTCAGGCTTTGGAAGAAGCAGTGCTATGGCAGAGAACCCAGCTGCTAGGGCTAGAGCACCCTGACACCATCCAGTCACAAGCCAACTTGGCCACAACATATAGCAAGCTAGGCAAGTATACTGAAGCTCAGGTTCTAGATAACATAGTGCTGCAACAGACAACTCATCTGCTGGGGCCAGAACATCCTGACACTATCACTGCACAAGCAAATCTAGCAATAACATATTATGCATTTAACCAGTATGACAAAGCACAGGTTCTGCAAGAGATAGTGTTGCGACAAAGGACATCTCTGCTGGGACATAAGCACCCTAACACTATCAGAGCACAAGCAGACTTGGCCACAACATATTATGCACTTGGCAAATATAGTAAAGCTCAGGTTTTGAAAGAAACAGTATCGGAACAGAGAACCCATCTGCTAGGACCTAAGCACCCTGACACTATCAGGTCACAAGCAGACTTAGCTGCAATATATTATGCACTTGGCAAATATAGTGAAGCTCAAGTGTTAGAAGAAATAGTTTTAGAACAGAGAACTTATCTGCTAGGACTTGAGCACCCTGACACTATCAGGGCACAGGTCAACTTGGCTGCAACATATCACAAACTTGGGATTTATGTAGTGTAGAAGAGAAGTTTTCTTGAATTTAGCTATTTAAATTTATACTCTCTCTATCAAAGTCCCAGCTGGCAAAGTAATCTGGTTGTAGCTACTTGTAGTTGGCACCCAGTTTGGTTTGATTTTGGCCCAACCTTTAGGCTGATGGTTTGGTCTGCTAGTAGCTATTAAGTATTATTACTTGTATATGCAGTACATATATATATATATTATGATTATGCTTCATTTAGTAAATAAGTAACTATGTATAATAATACAACAGAGCGGTGTTTTTCCTTGCTGTATCAAATCACACTTTGCAGTCGTGTCTCCAACTCCTTTACCTTGTCCGCCATCTTCAAATTCCTGTATGTATTCGCGAGATTCCGCATTATCCTCCTCGTCCGCTGATCGCGCTCCCCAAACAGCCGTGAATATCTGGCCAGCAAGTCCACCTCCAAGTCAGCCGACTGCGCAAACTCGTCAAGCTGGTAGTATGAGTCAGCAAGATGACTCATAGCCTCGAGTGTCTCGACATGATCTTCACCCAACTTCCGCTTCCTTTCGGCCACCACCCGCTCCTCGTGGGTCTTTGCCTTTTGCGGGAGCTTGAGGTCTTTGTAGGTTATCGCAAGACTCAGCATCGCGCGCAGTGTTTCCGGATGCGTGTCACCTTTTTCTTGCTGCAATCGCCCCAGAACGAACATCTTCAGTCGCTTCGCCTCCTCGTACTCTTTCAGGTCGCCACACGTGATCGCAAGACTCGTCATCACCGCGAGACTGTCCGCATGGTCCTCGCCCAGCGTCGACAGCGCATATTCTTGGTATAGTTTTGCATCCTTCGGCCGCCCGAGCTTCCGATACGAAATGGCGAGGTTTGTCATCGCAAGTATCGTGTCTGGGTGTTTCAACCCAAGGCTCTTCTTCCGTGCAGAGTACACGTCTCGTTGGAGGTTCTTTGCTTCGGCGTACTTGTCCAGCCTTGTCTTGACGAGTGCCAGATTGCTCATACTCCGCAGTAAATCGGCCTCCGCCGAGCTCCCCGCCACTCGCCGATTGACCACGTCAGTCGCGAGCCTCTCCGCATCTTCCAGCCGGCCAAGATTCATGTAGGTCACCGCCAAATTGCCCATAGCGCTCAGTTCATTGTGCTCGTCCTCCCCGCCCTGCTTTCGATACGCCTGGAGCACGTGCTGCTGGATCTCTTCCGCAAGCTCGTGCTGCCCGACTGCAGCGTATTCTCGTGCAAGTTGCGCGAGAAGGAGAAGAGTATCGGGAACGTCATCCCCAAGGCGGTCGATCTTGCTGCTGACCTCGGTGTGCAGCTCCGTCAATCGTTGCGGTAATGACCCCAGCGCCTCTGGTTTTCGCAAGGCAAGCCGTCGCGCTATATTAAAACCATTAGGATTGGGCACATGCTTCATTGTAAAACCCATACGACGAGACTGCAATTCTTGGACCCGGCGGTTAGTATCGAGGCCCACGACTGTCTAAACAGCCTATATTGAGAACAACACTCGGAAACTGTATGTCGCTCACATTGAAATGGGTGATCAGGCTGACAATCGTGTCCTGCAGCCCCTTGATTTCCTCGGAAATCGAACGCGAAAGAACCAGCGCAAGCACCCGACTTGAGAGCAGTTTCGTCCTGATTTGCTCGACGGTTTGCAGCACCTCTTTCATCGTTCTGGCGGGGAAGGTCAGCAAGCCGGACATCCAATGCGGGAGCTTGATTGCGCACTCTTCGATCTGCAGCTTCTGGCAAAGTGCGTCCAGTTGGGCAGCGACAGCCCGCTGCTTCACATGCTCCTCGAATAGCCCATGAAACCGCTCCACGGACTCGTACAGCTCGCGCAGTTCTCTGCGGTTCTTCTTCATCGCCTGACCGATTGGCGTCAATAACTGGACTAAGGGCGGGGTATATACTTGCCTCAACTGCCTTGAGCACAATGACCACCACTCCGAACGCAGCATGGATGTACGGAAACGGGGCAAAGTCCCCCGCGGAAGCCAGAACCTCCGCCGTCGATGTTATGGACGGTAAAACGGGAATGCATAAGGGGGCAGGTTTGGTTGCGACCATCGGTATGGCGAGCCGCAGTAGACCTAGTCGTAGTAATAAGAAGAAAGCACCGGGGCTGTGGCGGCTCGTCTGAAAGCTAGAGCGCCGCCATCAAAACAGCTTCCACAGTCTTCTCTACACCGGCTGCCCGGCCCAATGCCGCCTTTGGACGTACTCCCAAGGAACTAACACCTTGACAGAAGCGGTGTTCACAGCACAGTTACTTTTGTCAGCGAGTCGGAAAGCACGGCCTGTCCGTGAGACTCTGAGGGAAACCCCATGCAGATGCATTCCTAATTATGCCGAGACAGTATACATCTCCGGAGATCCACGCACAGCACTGTCAGCAGTCTGCGGATGGAGGACCGAAAATTACACCCATGGCGTCATAGCACGTGATTGTGACTCGACGCGAAAGACGAGAGAGTATGAATTCAAGTCTTGTCCGTAAAGAGGATGGTTACGAGCAAGTGTTGCAGCAGGATAAGGATTTGGTTCTCGGCAGCCCACTGTAACGAGAGCTTGAAATTCATTCCACTAGCCGTTGTTTCGCAGTACAGACATTGCAAAACAAGATAGGGAAGTTCGGTATAAAAAAGGTTCAATGATAGCGAAATCAAATATCCAAGGATTTCCGAAATTCGGGAAATCGAAAACGGTCCAGATCGGGTGAATGATTTGGGGATGAAAAGCCCGGACTTGGCGGCGCACGGATAATTTGCTGGACCTCTGGATCCTGCGCGATGTAGCCATAGCCGTTGTCCATGGACTGCAGCTGGTATCTGACTGCGCCGACGAGGACTGTCGTTTTCAGGTTCCCCGCCTCGGACAGCCTGACATCCTCCACAGCGGTGACGAGAGGGCTGGTGACCATAGGTCCGTGCTGGATGATTCCGGTCCCGCAACGAGCAGAGCGGGTGGCAGACGAGGCTATCGTTAGCCGTTGCAAGTTCGGCAGTCGTTGTGTCGCCGATAACAGAAGTACCTGCAGGAAGAATTAACCAAGGCTAGTTTAGTCCACGTAAAATGACTGACGACAGCATTGGAATCGGTCTTGATGCTCATTGTCAACTCTTCCAACTTCTTCAACGTCACCAAACCATCCAGCAGCTGGTCGTGGAAGCACCAATGACCTTCGAACCGAGGCACGCAAGCGAAATAACGCAATGAGGCAGCGTGGCGAGGCAGAACAAGGTTGATGAGCTTGTGGGCAAGGTGTTGGTCCGCGTCGTTGGAACCATCGAAGTTTGTAAGGTCGATTGTCTCCAGTGTGGAGTATGAGTCGAGGTATTTGACGAGCTGTGTGGACACGACGCTAGCGTTAAGGTGCTTCAATCGAACACCAGAAGAGAGGAGGTGTTGGAAGACGGGAGAAGTATCGAAGATGCCGATTAGGTTGAGGGAGGTAAGTGAGATGGTGGCATTGCTGATGATGAAATGCGAAATTCCTTGGTGGATAATAGGTTGAGCAATCCAGCTTAGCACTTTTAGATGCCGGAGTTGTGCGGTGAATTGCAGGTTTTCGAGAGGGTTCGTGGACAGTGTAGACAACAATTTCACTTCCAGACTGACGAGGGAAGTGTGGCTAGTGAGATAATGGGAGATGTTGGGGCGAAGCCATGCAATGTCGGTTTCCCGGATATACCACCTAAGTACAAAATATGAGTTTGTGGCATTACGCGCACTAGCACGCACCGAACAGAGCGTATATTGGCGAGCTTAGACAAAGCCCGTGAGACAAGCTCTGGTGAGGCTTGTGTTGACTCGTCTGAGCTTTCATTTGCCCAGGAAGCAACCTTCAGTGTTCTCGCATGCTGCACCCATTTGCTCTGGTTAGCGCTTGCAATGCCCTCTAAGCTGACGACGCAGTCGGCCCTGGAGACGTCGAGAACGAAGCAGCCGTAGAAGTCCGGGTCCATGGCCGCGCAAAGCGATTTGCAGACAGTGCGGAGGAGAACAACTTCATGCTTGTTCAGCTGTGGGGCATTAGGGTTGGACAACGGTGCTAGCTACCACTCACCCTCCGCGCTATCTCCCCGAGGACCTCGCGAGGGAGTTGAGAGAGGTTTGGCATGGCAGTGACCGAGAGCGTCGTAATCTGACGAAGCTGTTGCCGTTACCGATGGGCTCAATTTGGATACATCAACCGACGCAACGGCGACATTGAGCCCGACCGCTGGTATGTTTTGCCGTGGTGAGGACTAGGTTCTTGCTAACAAGAGCCAAGAACTTGAAGAAGGGGCATGAGCCGGTCACACTCTCCTTTCATCAATTTCATTTGTCCAACCATGCGTTCAGCGCTGAAGCCGTAAATGTCCCTCGTCCTGTTTGTTCACTATTCTTCAATTCTAACTTATGTATAGTACTACCAAATGCACAAGCTGAGGTCTACCGCCTAATTTTCACCAACAATAACGATCCCCGGACCCTCCAATTTCGGCGATAGAAAAACAAAGCTTCAGCTACCTCCAGAGTCGTCAACCGGCGCAGCAGAAAGACTTAGAATCGGAACCAGGTCTTTCTGTGAAACCTTCTAGTCGTCTGCATGGAAGGTCTATACTTCGACGTGCGCAACGTGTTTCTGACAATTTTTTACCATTCCCACGAACCCTTTCCAGATGCCGGTCTTAATTCTTGCTTTGCGGCGCGTATGCCCCTCATCAGACATGAGGCGCCTGCGGGCTGAGTCGATGAGCGCTTATATTCGCTATGAATAAGGCTTCCTTTCACTCTTGTCTCCGCCCACATCGATGAAGTTCGACGAGTCCCTCGATTCGAATCCAAATGGCCTCCCAGCATGGATAACGTCCTTTGTTGGACTCTCTTCAGTGTTTGCGGCTGTCGGATTGCTGTCCAGCTCGTACCTCGGCTCCAGCATCAAACTCCTCATTCTCGGTACCTTGGTGGAGACCGGCAGAAGGGTGTTTCAATGGCTGATTGTCCGCCTCCGATTTCGTGCGTGGTTGAGGACTTTTCCATCGCTACGCTCATCTCTCTCTGCAGAATACTCCATAACAGCCCAGTTTGACGATGGAGATCCAACGTATGACTGGATTGTTCTGTTCCTAGTATGTTGTCCAATGTCTTGCAACTTGCCCATGACCGTCGATATCAGACACAAGAAAATGTTTGGCGCCGTTCCCGCGATTTCACAGTCAATGCGACCAACTCGCGTCGCAAGTGGGCAGTCAAAACTTGGATGGATCCGACGATAAAAGGCAACGCGGAATATGTGCCAACCTATCAGGAGCCTCAGTTATTTCGCTGGCGAGGACGATGGGTTGAAATCAAACGTAGTCGAGACGGGAATGAAGCGCGGTTCACGAGCTCCGGTACTTACCGCCAGATTGCGAGCATCGTCATCACGTATGTCATTTCTACGGAGCCTTTTCGCGTGTATTACACTGACACTGGCTTTGCAGCATGTACACGCTCGATATGGCTCTGTTGTCGGACCTTGTGGAAGACGCGCGTGCTCGTTATGTCGAAGTCAACAAACCAAATGTTGTCATTCATCTTGCTGATTCGGTATGTCCATATGGTCGGTCTATTATTGCGATTGCCTGACCTCTTTTCAGCCACAATACGGACCGGGCCTGCCATGGACTAGTACCAAACACAAGATTCGTCGACCTCTGAGGTGGGGTTTGCTCTGAGATTTCTGAAACACTTTCTTAACGCAGCTTAGCACTATTATACTCCCAGACGGTGTCATTGAAGCACTTGTTCGCGATGCCCAGGAGTTCATCTCATCGGAAGATTGGTATGTCGAGGCCGGAATTCCCCATCGACGCGGATACCTGCTATATGGACCGCCTGGAACGGGCAAAAGTATGTCTGTCCTAACACGTGGCTCTGATTTGCTTATTCTACCACTAGCGTCGACTATCTACGCACTAGCGGGCGCTCTCAATCTAGAAATTTACTCCCTATCGCTAGCCTCGAGCTTGTAGGTAACCTCTGAGAATGATTTGGTCGTTGTTAATAGACTTCAGCGTGGACGACTCATTCTTGCAGCGTGCTGCCTCTGCCATTCCGAAGAATGCTATTTTCCTCATTGAGGACATCGACTGTGCCTTTCCTTCTCGCGAAGACGAAGACGAGATCGCCGAGCGACAAGCTGCGTTGATGAGCAATACTCAGTTCTCGCTTGCCTCAGCTGGCGGATTGGACTTGCCCGGCTCCGGCCGCCCCCCTCGTTCCCTTGTCACTCTATCAGGTTTATTGAATGTCATTGATGGAGTTGGGAGCGAAGAAGGGAAGCTCTTCGTTTGCACGGTTAATACTAGTCTCCTTCCGCTTGTTTCATGATTTTGACTGATTCTATGACCTAGACGAATTACATTGACCGATTGGATGCTGCGCTACTGCGGCCCGGGAGGATCGACCACAAAGTTCGGTACGAGCTGGCGACAGAGGATCAAGCCAGCGCTTTGTTCATGCGGTTCTTCCCAGAAGCGCGGTTCCCTCAATTCCACGGCGACAAGGCGGAATCTGGCCGAACACTGCACAATCTGGCTTCGCATTTCGGGAAACAAGTTCCGCCCCACGAGTTCTCGACGGCAGAGCTGCAGGGGTATCTTCAAGGACACAAGATGGCTCCCGAGTCAGCGGCTGAGGGAGTGCAAAGCTGGGTGGATGAGCTTCGTGCTGATAGAGCCGCGAGGAAGAAACGAGAGGAAGAAAGAGAACAGCGAGTCCGCGAACGCAGGGAAAAGTTGTTGAAGGAGCGTGAGGATAGAGATAGGGAGCGAGAGCGTGAACGCGAGAAGGACAAGCAATCAGAAAGAAACGCTGCCAAGGAGGACACATCGAAGAAAACGCCTGTTGATACCGACAAGACTCCAGAGGCCGAAGCCGGCAGCACAAGCCCAGCAAAATCCAGCGACAGCGAGTTCTCTGCATATGCCGATGGTTCCTTGCCGACTGAATAGCCCACTTTCCCTGTGGACGTTGTGACAAAGGATGAGCGAAGTGGACAAAATATGACTGTATTAGCACTGACGTAAATTTCTTTCACCCTGATCAATTTCTTCAAGTTGACCACCACCATCACCCGAAGAACGATGTGAGGTGCTGAAACCGTCAATCCGATAAACTCTCGATGTCGATGGACAAATGAACTCTGCAACACTCGACGGCCAAGCGCATTTTCGCTTCCTAAGCCCCTCCCCTGGATCCAGCTTGTGAAACCACTCGCGCTGGGATGTGGAACATCGCTTCGCAATCAAGAAAGCGCCGAAATCTGGGGTATAAGTACTTACACCTTGTGGTGGACTGAGTTCTTCACCTCTGCTTCTTCTACTTCGCTCTTCCAGTCGCTTTCCGACATCTTCACACCAGTCTTTTCTTCTCTATCCAGCGATGCCAATTTTCAAAGTCTGGTTCCTCGTTTCGTGCCTCGTTCTGTTTGGACAAGCTGCCCCCACTGTGAATGTCGGTCGAGAAGTATTCTGTCCATGATGCCAACGCTTATCGCAATTTGCTCAGATTTCGACGACGAGTGGTCTTTCCGATGCACCCAGTTTTACAACTCAAACCCTCGGAAACATCAAACTTCCTGAAATTGTGCGTCCAGCGTCTCGAATTTGAATCATATGGGTCCTCATATAGCGTGTAGAAAGCCACGGCTCCTTCGTGGCGTCGAGCGGTCGTTGCTGCTTATGCTGAACCTACGCCGCCAGTCAAAGATGAGCTGGGAATTCAGACAGCGGTCAGTTCCTAGGCTATACCTTGATTTCCTCGTCTTTTGCGCTTATCCTCTTCACAGAAAGGCACCGCGCCGGGCTGGCGACGTCGCCTGGGAGAACCTACCGCGTATCAAGTCGCTGCAGGAACGAAGGAAACTTGAACAGCTCGAACCGAGGATTGACTCGTATGGTGAAACTTAGGCTACTTTCGAAGGGAAACATGGACTTTTCTGAATTTCGATTGTTTATTTATTTATGATCTGTATTGGGATAGTAATTAATTTCCTCATGGTCGATGAATTGGATGAGGTTGTCTCAGGATCCTGGATTGTCATCGCTCCAACTTGACGAAGGTCACGACAAGTTACTTACACGCTCTTACACAGTTACACCACTTGTCTAGTACCCTCATGTCCTTTCCACTTCCACCCGAACTGACGCTCTCCATCCTCTCACACTTGCCCATTTCCTCTCTTCCCGCCCTCAATGCAACCTCACTAGCATGGTATACCTTCATTCAGACCAACGAGTCTGCCGTTTATCGCAATATCGCCATCGAGAGCTTCTCATTGCCTCCCTCCACAACTTTTTCGGGCCTCAACATGCTCCTGTCGCAACGCGCCGTCGCCGGAGCGACTGACTGGAAGGCACTCTGCAAGGCCCAACACCACATCGAGCAATCCTGGCTCGGGAAAGCCGCGTCAAGTGTGACCTTTTACCCCGCAACTGGTCCCAATGTCCATCGCATCAAGGTCGACGAACACAGAGGTCTCATAGTAACGACGGCGGGGGCGAGGGATCCACGATTGCGGGTGGTAGACATGAATACTGGGGAGCTGGTTTGGGCATTGCCAGAGGTGTGTATCCGTCTTTTCATTCACAACTCTTTCATTGACGAAGCCAGCGGTATGTCTGTGCCTACGCACACTGTGAATACGACAACGGCTACATCATCTTCAACCGCCGCTTTTCGAGCGACAAAGAGGTCTGGCGGCTCGTCGAAGATGGCGCCACTGTCGATGGTTTCGCTCCATCGAATCCGCCAGACGAACTTCAGCTACGCGCAGCAGAACAGGTTTCTTACAAACGAAAATTCATTCCCTGGGCACTCCTACGCCCTCCAGAAAACGCTTCAACCCGCGCTTTTCGATTGGCATACCCCACTCTCATGGCTGCATCAGCCACAGACATGTATTTCTGGGATGTGCCATCTGGAGCTCTCGTTCGAACAATACCCTACTACTCCGATGTAGGAGAGCTAAACTACGTCGAAGTCAGTCGCCAGAAGGACGGACTTGCGTTTATCTGCGGCACCAATGCCCTCCGTGCATTTTCTCGCGCGACTGGTCGGCGAGTTCTCGACATTCCATCCACGCGGCACTCATATGCAGACAACTCTTATGTTTTTGAAGCAGACGAGGGACATCTTGGGTGGCTTCCGAGCGCGGTATTGAAGCAGCAGCCAGTCCAGCACCGGAATACACTAGAGCTTCCTGGACAACTTTTAGACGAGTTCGTTGCAGTCCACATCTCAGAATGCGGCTCTCACATCGCGGCTCTGTTGTCGAGCTCCAGACTGATTATCATCCCCTTCTTCCACCGCGTCATCGATGGACAAAATACTCTTCGGGAAATTGCACTCGATGTGCAGGTTGGATCGCCTCGCGGGGCCTCCAAGTATCTGTCGTTCGAAAACGGACGGATTGGTCTGGCAACGGTGACATCTTGCTTCGCAGCTTGCTATGCTCTCTGACGTTCTCCAGGTTGCGGGCATATATGTCCTTAGTCTCGACTTCGACTCCTGTCTATGCGCGATGTCTCCAGAGATAACCGTGGTGCGCGCGGCCTGGTTTAACTCCGCTGTGGGGCTAAACAGCATTACCTGTCTGCAACTCGGGCCAAGCGGGATTTACTTCAACTGGTCCGCTCACGGATTAGTTGATGTTACTAACCCCCAGCATTGCTCAATTGCGGGAGAGAATTTACCGCCAGATGGAGATGCAGAAGGGATGTATGCCGAGTCATTACTGGAAGACAGGATCACAGCTCGTATGTTCTATTTATTAAATCAAATTCCTCTCAGCTTGATTTGACTCGGCTACCAGGCGCGCCGAACGGTAGTGAGGTAGTGCAAGTGTTTGAATTCGGTGCGTGTGCCCTTGTGGAAGGATTGGCATTACTGACGATTTTCTTGCCAGCTCAACACTCGAGGTTTTCATATGTGGTCAGTGTCAACTTGACCCCGGTCATTGCAGAAGCGGGTCATGTCGAATGACGCACCAGAAAGCCAAAGCAACTGTAATAATCAAGTAGTGATCTCTCACCCTGTAAACATACAGATTTAAGCCCACATAAAAGGATGCATTCTGATTCAAGTTTTAAATGAATGGGGGGGGGGGGTTCAAGGCAACAATCATCACAGAACCCAATGATGAATATCGTGTCTGCCATACTTCCCTCTACACCTTTGCCGGCCCTACGGCACATATCGACGTTCTAACCACACTCCGGTTTTGATAATGCTAATGCAGCACTGGTAAAGGTGAAGGAAGAGTATAAGATGTACTTAGCACATTCCGTTGACTTCATCATAGAACTCCCCAAGGCCCATGGATACAATGCAATTTACATTAAATTCATATTTTTGTACAAAATGAAAGTTTTGAATCCGTGAAAGTACCTTTAAATAGATACAGGTAATAAAAGCATTACTTTCAAGTTGTAAATCACTAGGAATGCTCCTGCCCCAGCGGCCCAACATTTTGAGCTCCTGTATATTGACTAATTTTCTGAGATAGTATCTCAAGATGGCTCCTAGTCAGAATGGTATCAGGATGGTCTGTTCCCAAAATTCTGACACGCTGCTGGAAAACCTGTTCCTGCAGCTTTTGAGCATCTGCATATTTACCTAATTGCTCATATAGTAGTGCAAGATTACTCTTGGCCAGACTAGTATGGGGATGCTCAAGCCCTAAAATTTTGATTCATTGCTCTATTACCTGTATATGCAACTCCTGTGCATCAGCATATTTGCCAAGTTTTTGATATATCAGGGCAAGATTATTTTGGACTACAATTGTTTGAGGATGTTGAAGCCCTAGAATTTTGATGCTTTTCTGTAAGGCTTCTTCCTGGAGCATTTGTGTCAACGTCGGGCTCGGGCCGTATCGGGGCGTCAGGGGGTCCGACTTCGAGAGGGTCTGAGGAGCACGAAGGATGGGTGTTCGCCCAGAGAATAGACGATATTAGCCTAGCGACTACATCTTGTAAGTATGGTTTTTATACACCATGGTATTAGGGATGGATCGGATGGGCGCCAGGTCCCAGGGCGGATCGGATGGGCGCTGCGTAGGGCCGCAGGGGTGAAGGGAAGGGGCTGGAAGAATGAGGGAGCGTCGAGGAGTATGGCGGTATGCGAGCCCGTGCGGGCCCGGTCGGGCCCGTGCGGCCTCGTGGCCCGGCGGCCCGACCCGAACCGTGACATCACCCCCTCCGTTGTGGGCGGCGCCTCGACGCCTTATGGGTCCGCGTTCCCTGGTCTTCCTTTCGGATCTTCCATCGTCCATTTACGAGTTCTTCGCGGGGCGCAAAGGGGTTGAGAATATAGAAATCTTCCAGTGCCTCTTCTGCACCTTCGAGTTTGTCCCGCAATTCCCACGTCCACTCTTCCCGAGGATAGCCTTTCCATTGAATTAAGTACCTCAGGCGGTGTCATCCTTGTTTGCGCACGAGGGAGATAGCCTCTACTTCGTAATGGGGCTCGCCGTTGCGCATCTCGGCTGGCGGCGGCAGTGTGGCCCGCTGGTGATCCGCGATGGGGGGGCGTTCCAGGGTCGTAATAGCGCGGTGTGGAAAATGGGGCTCACGCGCCAAGTTGGGGGCAGTATCAGTTCGTAGGACGTTTTACCGACTTTGCGCTTGACTTCGAACGGCCCGAATCTCTTGTCGTCTAGTTTTTTTGAGGGCCGATCGCTGGTGAGGTTCGTACTCTGGAGGTATACTTTGTCCCCTTCGGCGTAGTTCGGGTCCGGGGGAGCGCTTCCGATCGTAATACTTCTTCATAGTTTCTGTCAGGGGAACCCCCGCTTCGGCCTCCTTCGGACCCTCTGAACGCATCCGAGGCGCATCCGACCGGCGCCCCCTCGGATGCTCCGACCCACCCCGACCATCGTCCACGGCCTCCCTTGCCCGCACAATCACCGATCCGTCAAGACCCTCCCAACGATCACCTTGGGACAGAGCCTGCGACGCCGCTCAGGCCTTCTGCGCTCTACGTCGGCAGTTACGGACGACCAGTATATAGTTGGCGCCCTAGCAGGCGGACCCTTAGAGTTTCTTCTCTTTGGATCCTCCCCTGCTAGGTCGGTCCCTCCGTGTATTCCCGTAGCTTTTATTCACGCTTTGGATCCTCCCCTGCTAGGCTTTCGTCGCAGTCTCCAGGGTTGCCCTTACAGTTTCTTGCACTTCTTTCATGGCTTCGGCCCCGTCGGCCTGAGCTTCCTTCATTCGCTCCGCAAACACTGTGGCGGCTTCAGTCGGGACCTCTTGTGGGGCTTCGGATCCCTTTCTCGGGTGAAATCCCCAGCTGATATAGCTACTTCTATGCAAAAGATGTGGGCCACTGCCCATGGGTGTAATGCAAAAGATGTGGGCAACAGCTCTAAAGTCACAAATGTCACAAGTATTTCCATGATAATTAATTATTTTAGGGCTTTCTAGCACCTTCTAGGTGATGGGATCAATGCCTTTTATATAATGTTTTTGATGTGGAACCATTTTTGATGAAGATCAATTGATTTGCTTATTAGGCTCTGTTCCATCAATGTGACATGTGATTACATCAATTCCCTTGCCCTGTATTATAAACTGTTCCAAATTATATACCGAATCATCGGCCTGAAGAAATAGTGACTTCTATTACCATATATAGCATTAGCTTAGTCATAGCTATCAATTTGGCTCTTTAATCTAGTATTTATATTACAGGCTTGTGACCTGTGGGCAATTGCCCACATCTTTTTGCATTAGACTGGTGGGCAGTGGCCCACATCTTTTGCAAAAGACTAGGTATACAGGGTGAAATCCCAGCATGAGGAAGAAGGGCGAGAACCCTGTCGAGGAGTTTACTTTATCGTTGAAAGCAAATTCCGCTAGGGAGAGCCAATCAGACCAGTCACTCTGTTGGAAGTTGCAGAATGTTCGGAGGTACTGCTCGACCTCCATATTCACACGCTCTGTTTGCCCGTCCGTCTGCGGGTGGTAAGCCGATGAAGATCGGACCTTGATACCCAGCAATTTGCTCAAGTCGCTCATGAAATGCCCAATGAATTGTTGTCCCCGGTCGCTAGTCACCTCCTCTGGGAATCCGTAGTCCTTCCAGACGTTATCACGATATAGCCAGGCGACTCCTTCCCCGGAGATATTTCCCGTGCACGGGAGCACGCGGATCCCTTTACCTAGTCTGTCGACGATCACAAGAATTGCGTTATACCTGGAGGACTCGGGTAATTGAACGATCAGATCGATTGATATGCGCTGCCATACCCGAGTCGGCCCGCTGTTCGGGACCAGGGTCCCTGCGGGGGCGTCTCAGGAATATCTTTGTTCGTTGGCACAACGGACAGGCCCGTACGTAGGCCTGGCAATCGGTCTGAATCGACGGCCACCAATAGTTGCGGGTCGTAAGCTCGAGGGTTCGATGCCATCCCGGATGTCCCACAATAGGGATGTCGTGGTGCTGTCGTAGAACCCGATGCCGCAGTCCCATGGCTGGAGGCACGTACACGAGTCCGTTCCGAGTTTTGAAACCGTCGTGCTGTTCCCAGCCTTCCGGTTCTCCTTCTTCCCAGAGTTTGAGAGCCTTTTCTTCCGTGGCCGGTTCGGCCTGCCGGATCGATCAGTTCCTCGACAGTGTTTTAGAGTCGCCGTTGATCACAGGTCCAGGCCCCAATCAACTGAGTAGGTTTTCGCCGTTTAACTGTCCCTTGGCACTCCCGATCCTCCAGCATGATCCGAAACCACGTTCCAATGATGTCAGTCGTTGATACCAACAGAGATAGGGGTGTCCCTTATCTAGGAGAAGTCGATCTCGAGTCTCCACTGAGCGCCAAACCGAATATGCCTTTTAGAATACACTCCCTTTGGGTATTTTGCATAGAATTGGATAGATTCTAGCGAGAAACGGGCTCTGCGAACTTTTCCTAGTCAAGATTTTGGAATCACTAAGAGCGATTTGATAGATTTTGACTGGAGTTTGACTGGTTCTTGTGCAGGTAACTCCCTAGTTGACCATTCGGGACTCATGTCAACTCTGAGACGTGCGCTGAGCAGCAAAATCGACAAAAATAGTCGTTTCCTGGTCTGTCCCAGACTGCGGCTTATCAACGCACTTGCACCGCCTGTCTACGCTCCCGTCCTCTGGCCTTCCACATGCGATCTTGCGCTTGCGACAGAAGAAACACGAGAGCGCCTGCTTCTTGCTTTGCCCACTGGCAGGAGGGGCGCCGGGGCGGAGCGCGAGGCTGAACTCGAACGGCTGTGGTTGGCTCAGGCTGTCGAGGGGGCTATAGCGCGGAAGTTGTTGTTGCGGCGCGGGTGGTTGTTGGGGAGCGTGGATGTGGTGCAGATGTGGTGAAGGCTTTGGGCTGATGGGCGTCAGCAGCACGGTCATCACGGGCGTCGGGGTCACAGCTAGCGCCAGCGATGGACCGTAAGCAGAGTAGGACGGCGGCGAAGTCCACTGGGGTGGCAGCACAGCAAGACAGTCGCGCGCCAGGTCGAGAAAGCGGCCATCTTCTTTCCTCAGAGGGTGTAAAGGCTGCTCTCCTCAGCGTTGGGTCAGCGGGAAAACAACACGACACGCCACTTTCAGCGGTGGAAGAACACCTTAGAAGGGCAGTGTTGGTGAGTTGAGTTCGGTCGTGGCTGTCGAATCTCGATCGACTGGCTTGTTGGGTAAGCGATTACTGTCCCACCTGAGATTTTTTGCTCATAAAACCGTTCCAAACAGCGAGGGCGGCAGGAGTTTGTAGTCAAGGAAGCCATTGGGTGGGTAGTTGGCGAGACAGGGCTTGCGCGCCGAGATTTCGGCTTCTGGTCCTTGATGCGGGGGGTTCAAGTTTCTAGCGCAGGCATGGCAGGAGACGTTTGAGATAAGCAGTGTTGGCGGCAGAAATCAGCGAGAGTGCCGAGAAACCGGTCGTGTTATTTAGACTTTCGAGTTTAGCCAGCTGCCAAGCCGTTTACTGGTGTAGAAAGCTCAACGCGGCTGGACAT